AGATTTAACACTAGTCCACACCCCTCTAGGTTATACACACATTTATTTAATAACTCGTGTTTCGTATTGCTTTGCTTTGCTTTCTCTTCACACTTTTGGTTGGTATAACAACCTATTTGTCCCTATTATGATGAGAGCCTTACTAAAACCTTTGTTCCTGTATTGGGAGCCAGCCGTGTACCGTGCTGCCTCCGGCTCTCCTACACATCCCGCAGATCACTCCGGGTGTGTGTTGGCACAGAGGTGGAGTACACTTTGCCAACACACAAACACACAACAAACTGCAAGGACCCACACTCAAACGCATTCTCTCCATGTCCCTTTCTGTGCTTGTCTCTGAATGGAAGAAGCTACTGGGACTTTGGCGTGCTTATTTTTAGCTGCTGCAGTCCTTTTCTGTGGAGTGACGTCTCCCACGGTCTCCCCCAGCTGTTTTTATCAAGTCACTCTGTCAGGCAGGAAACCCCGCACTGCTGCATTATTCATCCCCTGCTATTGAGAGAGGGGAATCGGAAGTCCCGACCACCACTTTGATGACATGCAAGAAGGGGGAAAGACTTACGCCGCTTACATTTGCTGGCACCTGTGCATTCGCAGATTCTGTGATCTTCAAGTTGAACACAGGAATCATAAATGAGACTGTTCAAGTGTGTGGCTGGTGGCCTTAACATTGAGGAGAGGAGGAGGGGGGACTTCTGTGGATAAATGTGTGCACGGGTATTTTCTGTGCATAAAATTATGCATTCATGTGTGTGCTAAATCTTCTGTTCTCGTATGCAAAAGAAGATCAAATTTAGCTTAATGTTATTTTCACCCACTTTTCCCGCCGGTATTGCATTTATGCAATGCGCTCATTAAAGCCATCCATCATCTACATAGCTGTGGGTTTCCCCTTGTACAGGCAGCACAGCTCTCTTCTGAACTATAAATATCTTTCATGGAGGAACACCCTCCCAAGGCTTTGTCAGAGACAAATCTAACCACCAGCTTGGATAAAATATGTCTACGTACATTATTGGGTAATTACATAATCTCAACATTCTGACAGGCAACGGATGTGTTTGAGAAATGGAAACCGTGTGTCCCTCATATATCCTATTTCTCAAGTCTGTGAGCCGCTTAGATTTGATCGAGATTGTTGCTGTAAGGAATATGGCTGATCCTCCATCACACATTATTTTTTCTCAGCCTAACGTCATAACAGAAATACGGCAAAGATTAATGGAATCAAAGTATTACACTCACACAAAGGTAGCACTCGAAGAATGAAGGCATGTGTATATCAAACCTGATGTGAAAGTATGCAGTGTGACTGGTTATGACGATATCTGTCAATATTCGGGTGTTTGCATAAATGTGCGATCCTGATTGACAGTACGACTTCCTGTGTTGACTCAGGCTGATTGAGTTGGAGATGGAAGTGCACTCTGCTGGCAGCGTTCTCCATTTGTCACCATCTTGAGCCGTGAGATGGGACGGCAGGCGCCCGCCGGACCCGAGAGCTCCTGTCTGCCTCTCTGTAATCCCATTCTTAGCATGTACAGGCACGTCTACGGCCCCCAAGAACACCCATCTGGTGGAAACTAATCCATTGATCCCTCTCCGTGTGTCAGTCACAAAAGCAGTTAGAGCTATGAGCTGCAGAGCTATGCTATGTCAAGTGTGGCCCTTAAAGCTCAGGAATCGATAGTGTGCAAGTAATTTAGGATGCAAATGGTCAAATGATGGCTCGGTGTGTGCGGCTGGCACAGCGAGAGGATGTGTGGTTGGGAGAGATGCTTCTGTAATTAAGATTGAACTCTTTTCATCATGAATAACATGTATGAACAAGGCACGTTTTAATTAAAGATATGTGTGTCTGTGTCGAAGGTCTGAGCAATAAAGCCACCAGGAAGCTTAATTTATCATCCTGTTTTTTTCTAAAGTCTGAGGACACTTTTCCCTCCTCTGTTTGTATCGCGTCTAGGAATAAAACCCAAATATAAAGTGATATAGAATGATTTATGAAAGAGGCTCATTGGAGAGTAGGGCAATGAAAATGCCATCCGCCTGAAAATCTAATAAGCATCCTCTCTGAATCGAGGAAAGAGTCGGTGGCATGTACAGGAAGCCTTCCACAGGGTGATCATGTATTAAACAGACTTCCCCTCGTTAAATATTCATGGGCAGAGATTTACTCATTAATCTTTCATTATCTTCTATCTCTCTATTTTGCATACATCAGAAGCTTGGAGATGTTACAATCACCTTCATTTCACATTTTCCGGCGCGGGGATGTTTGCAAATTCTCGCTGATTGTTTTGTGCTTCAGATAATGAGTCATGTCTTTGTTCAAGGTTTCTTATGTTGTCGTCTGTAATGCAAGTGTTTGTGATGTCAGGCGGGTAGATTTCTGGATTCTAGCTCAAGGGCTTCAGTGGATGACCACACACTGCTGACGCTCAACAGGACCGAGCTGCATCAACACACACGTTGGTGCTTCGAACTTTACACAAGTCAATATGAATGCACCAACACACATGAAGAAAAAAGGCAGTTGTGGAAGATGGAATCAGAAACTCCAACAAATCCTATTTTAAAAGTACAGAAAAAAGGAATGGGGATCTAATTTATTTTTAAAAAACCAACACAATATTTGGTTTATTCCGATGCATTGATGTCTGAGAAGCATTTTAAAATTGTCCTGGTTGAGGTGTAGCTTATTTGAACTTTTCTTATATAAATATATGGTCTTTTTTCAAACTTGAGTCTCAGGTTTCCTCCCTAGGATAACAAGATTGTTGAATATTCTCTATTATAACTCAAGCCTTCTTTTGTAAATAATCTGGATAATCTGACAGTTATTAACAATCTGAAAAATTGAGTACGGATTTTTGTCCCAAGCCAAAAAGATAATGATAATGCTTTGCAATTCATAAGGTGATTGGATTTTTTTTATATATATAAAATCTTATTAGTAATAGTCACCCTAGCTGTCAACAAATGTTTGTGAAATGGAAATACTAAAACAAAATGGAACAAGTAGCCTACCTTAAGACTGTACTGTATTCCATACTAATTTGTTATTTCCTCATTATTTCCTATTATTTATTCATGTGAATTAAATTATTTACTATGTCTTCTTTTTATATTTAGTTTTAAAAGTTTACTTATTTTATCTTGTTTTTCATTAGTTTTTTACTGATGCTTCTTGTTATTGCACTATCCCCTGTGCTACCGTAACACTCCAGATTCCCCCGCTGTGGGGCTGATAAATGATTATCTTGTGCTTCCACTGCTAACAGGCACATACAGTAGTAGATCAAAAACATGTACCTTCTGTACTACCATAAAAAGGCATAAAGAGAACAGGATGTGTGTTTGCTTTATAGTCCCTCGTATGATCCGCATTCATATCAGCACTCAGTCCTTTTGAAATCGTGTGACGTGAACGATCTAAATTAGACTTTTGGTGGAGAGGAAGTTCATACTGTTGCTCCGAGATGAAAGAAGTTGGTACACAGAGGTCAGTAGTTCACTGGCTGCGTACTCCGCTTCCTAGAACCGCCTCCAGTATGATTAAGGATGTGCTGTGATGTGATCCCGGTGATTACCATGGATGACTATAGGAGGGCAGCGCTGGGAGATGGTGTGTAGGACTTCAGGGGGACACTGGTGGGCAGGTGCTTTATCGACCTGCTGCCTCGGATTCCTGTTAATAATATACAGGGACTTATCACGCCTCCACATGTGGACAATGCATAGATGAAAAGCACACACCAAGATGCCAGAGAAAGGCTTTAAATATTTCACACGAGCACAACAATCTGAAAAGAGATGTGAACTTAATAATACCATAAATCTGTGTTTTTCTCCATGTGAGGAAAAAACATGATAATTGGCACAATGTAAATGTTGCTGCTTATAATGACTTTTTCTCTCTGCTTTGGTCCCCGACATCTTCACTACCCGAGTAGTGCAGACCTTGTTAGCATGTCCACTCGCTTTCTTTATAGTATGTCTTACTGAAAACAATGCAGCTCTGCGGGAGTTTCTGGCAAAACATAATATTCTCCACTGAAAAAGTTATTTCTTACTTCAACCCTAGTATAAGCTTGACTGGAAACAAACACACAGCTTCTATTTGTCATACATTTCTTTGTCTTTTCTTGGAATTCAAACGGGACTCGAAACGCTGTAAATTGCTCCGGATATTTATTTATTTCAACAATATTTCCAGCCTTCTTGCTATTCCTGCAATCAACTGAAATGACTAATGTGATAGTGAATCAGTGTTGTGCAGAAGCCAGTCAGCCTCATGCTGTTCCCAGTGGTCACCCGGCTTTCAGGAGGTATGCATGTCTTCCATCTGTTGTTATTTGGACACCCGCTGGCACCATACAATGATACGTTGATTCATAACCATTGGCAGGTTGTCAGACTTTTATTCAGAATAAAAATGAATTACAGACTAGAGTAGGTTGTTTAGTACATCCCTAGTCTACTGAATATTAATTGGTAAAGTTAATTTTAGAAAATGTCTGAACTTAGCTTCTAAAGTTGGAGCACAGCTGATATCAGCAAATATATCTTTTTTATGGCAGATATATCAGTGTGTGTCTTGTCTGATGATAAACACAAAATCCTGCAGAATGCCATTGCTTGAGTTAAAAAGGTCTTATTAGGCATTTTAAGGTTTTCCTTTTCAAGTACTGTTATATGTTTTTTTTGCATGTAAATGGTCTGCAGAGGCTAAAATCCCAAAGTTCTCTCCAGAGGGAGTTTCCAACACATTGTATGTGTTAGGCTAAGGGGCGGGACATTTCTAAGTGATTGGCCAATCACAACAGAGACGGTCAGCTAACCAATCAGAGCAGAGGGTGAAAAGGGGTGAGTATGAGAAAAATATAGACCTTTTTGAACATTAAAGCATGCAAACATCTCAAATTAGAAGCACAAAAAACAAACCTGAAAATTAGGATAATAGGTCCCCTTTAGTTTCGAAAATATGCTTTATGCAGTTTACATGACCAAAGAGCAAATACTTTTTTTTTTACGAGAAGTTTATCACTTCTCAAAACAAAATATCTTTATTGTAATAGCCCTTAAAAAAAAGATCAAATTAAGACCAGAACAGGAGGGAAATATAAAAAAACGAGTGTGCCAGGTGACGTAAGTGGCATATAAAATGCATGGCTGGATAGGGAGGGGTTAATGTCTTGTAAAACACGTGGTAAAGTAATCAAACATGAATCGGTTGACCCCACCTGAGTTCAATTCCCAGCGTCCCTCGACACTAACATTGCACCGTGTCATCTTAATCACTACTGACACGCCCCCTATTGTGCCTCCCTCCCACTTCAGCACACCTCATGTTCACGGTGGCAAAATACAGAACAAAGAACACACTGGTGCTGCCACACAGCCATATGCACCACATCATGAAAGTAGTAACTTGTCTCTATCATGTTCATCGTCAATGACCCGAAACCTGATTGGTAGAGTAAACTCTGAAAAGGACACATGAACATCCCAGAAGTTTACTTGCTGGCGCTGTATTCATCGAGGCAACCACGACTCGACTGATGAGAACTAATGGCGAGCCCCAGGACTCAAAGGGAGAGCATTGAATCAGATTGAAACAGCACAATACAGCAGAGTCACAGAGGCAGCCCAAACAGATGGGCGGCTGAACAGCTGTGCGTCTAAATGAACAGGATGTGTAGCTTCCAGCTGACAGCCCGTCTCAGTGGACATTGTGTTAGATACTGACTAAAACTGTAATGAGATTACCAGTCATTTAGAAAAAAGGTAATTGATGTCTTTTTGAATTAATTAACACATTTAGAAGGAATTTAAAGTGAAAGGTTACACACTCATTTAGTCTGTCCCTTGTTTATTCCGTTAATTGAGTATTTTGTTTGCCTTTTGTTGGAGGGTAATCTAGAGACATCATTTTTTCAAGTTGTAACGTTTGGTAGTGTCTGAAACAGGAATGTTAAAACATATTTATTTGCAAGCAGAAACAACCATGATATGTCACTGAGCCTTCAAAGCTGTACTGATTAGTCTCTGCGTCAGAAATCAACACACTGATATTTATGTCCATAAAATATAGTATTTACAAATTAGACCTCAAACATCATTAGCATTCATTAAGAGTTGTGTTTCTTTCCACCAGACAAACATAAATCCATCATTCACTCTAATGTTAGCACCTTTTTGATCAACTACTGAGGTAAAAACATGGAGCTGAAAGGTGCTAAGACGCTTTGTAGAGCTTCAAAGTCGAGTGTCGTTCAAATGACACCTTTAACATTACATTGGTCATTTTATGTCCTTCATATATTAGTATTGATTAGCGCAACACTCAAGTACAACCATCACACTGCTAGCTAATCTTACCTCAGGGACCTCAAATGTATAATACATCTGAAATATATCACAATTGCTTTCCAGAGTGCTAACTGTGGAGCTGTCCTGGGACTACAATCTTCTGTGACCTTCCAGACTTTCTTCACCTGGTGACCTTGAGACATATTTTATATCTTATGTATTCAGGATACTGAGTCTGGGGGTGATTTCCATTAGGCTCATAGCTCCCTGCTTCCTCACTCTCATCTCTCACCTAAAATGTATGAACACTCGATTTGTTTATCTCAGCCTTCTCTGGAATAAGATAATTAGGTTTTTGTTTTTTTTGGCTCAAGCTATTAACTATAATATTACAAACCCAGTCCGGATAAACAAAAATATACACTTCTCCTTGCTGAAATGAGCAATGCAATAACAAGGCAGCCTTTCTCCATAACAATACTTCACTAAAGATTGGTCATTTATATTTGGGCTCAGCAGACGATTAGTATAAAAGAAACGTGGTCTTTTTAGAGGAACGGGTGGTGCAGGCTGCACCCTAAATCGAGACATTGAGCAACACCTAAACAGCATAATGCAATGGAGCTTGATGAGCATTTCAAAATACATCATTTATGCACCTTTTGCACAGAAACATTACACAAAAGGAACATTAAACATAACAAGAATATGAGATGTTATGCATAATTAGTATTTGACTCATCTCTGTGAAATGGACCCTCACTTATTCATAGGTACATTAAAGGGCCCATGTCATGCTTTTCCGGTTATTACCCGTCCCCTTGTGTGTTATGAAGGTTTTTATGCATGTAAACGGTCTGCAGAGTCAAAAACCCTCAAAGTACACCCTGTAGCGAGTAAAACTCTAACACAGTCTATGCTGCCCCTCAACGCCTCGTTGGAGATTTCTCATTTTCTTCCTGGGTACTCTGACGTGTGAATACCCAGAGGTCACACCCTCTGCCAGCCTTTCACGAAACAAAGCTTCCCAAACCTTTCAGCGATTCATGCCGGATGTGTACAGCGTAGGGCACTGTTGCTGTTCGATGCTGTTCCTACTTTGTTTGGACCAGAGGGAGATTCGGGTACACAACCTGTAAGTATTCATTGTTGTTTGTGTATTTATGATGTTTAAAACAAACAAGGTATCTACCACGACTGTTTAAATGGGTAAGCGTTTTTCGGACTACAACGTTGGGATCGCGGAGAAATGCTCTCCGCAGACCCATTCTCACAGCGTTAAACCTTTTTCTTACTCAATATCAAGCCACACTTATTGTTTTTACTTCGGCTGTGAGTGTTTATGTGTGCTCAGGATGAGTTTTGCTTGTTCTCGCCGTATCTCCTCGCAGCAGATCGCAGCAACGAGCCTCGCAGCGTCCCGATCAATCAGAGCACACTGGGCTCACAGGGAGGGGGGGCAGGAGCTCCAACAAGCCGTTTAGGACAGAGAGTGAATACCTGGTGAATACACATACTATATAGAGATGCTGTATGAGAAACCAATGTGAGTTTGGAAAATTGCACAGTATAAATCTATTCTAGTAGACCTCAACAATGGAAATATGAGCAGTAGAAATGGCCATGACATGGGATCTTCAAGATTGAAACATTTTCTTCAGAGGTGGCCACCCACATGTGCCCACCCGCGCTGATGTGAGACACACTTCACTCCTCTGTCAGTCAATATCGTCTCAGACTGGGTACAAAAGGTACCAGCTGCCATGAGGCGCCTGCAGCACTGTGACCTTCCTGCCTCTGCATCTTGCTGGCTATTTTTTTTTTTATTTATTAGATTTGCTGTTTATTAAGGGGATGGAGACCCTGTGAGAGAACCTGTGAGCTTCACAAAAAGTTCATAAAATGTGAACATCCCCTTCTTTTAAGTTTAGGCTTTTAAATGTGAGATGTATTAGCAGTATCACCGGCTTGAGGAGACAGTTTGTTTTTCATTCCAAAGTTTCAGTGCGGTTTGAAACTCTTGGTCCATGAAAGAGGGCGGATGGGGACTGGATGTGTCACCAGGTTGATGACGTGCTGCCAAAGGGAAACGTCTCTAAAGGCACATACATCTGACATGTGGGGTTTCTACCGTCTAATGGTTTCTGATGAGAATGAAAACATCCTGAGACAAGAACAGCTATTCTTAGGAGAGAGGGGATAAAAACAGATCTAATTTCTCGAAGCTCCAGGACATTTCAAAAACAAGGATGTTAGACATTACTTAAGTACTTAAATGCATTTTATATAACAGATGAAGGATTGTTTTTTTTATCATTTGAAAAGATAAATATCAATTGAAATGCTACTCTTTGCCTGCACCCTATCATTCCTGGGGACTAGTAGTGGTTTTCAGGGGTGTTTGTAATCCTGCAGGCTGATCATGTACTCTTAAATAAATAAAAAAAGCGATAACAAATCAATCAATGCAATGTTCTCAATGCCACATGTTCAATTATGGGTGCAATAAGATGTTTGTGGTCAAAGGCAATTGTTGTTTCTTAAAACTATGATAATGTTTTTTTCTCACTGCAGATTTGAAACATACTTTGATCTTTCGGCCACTTCAAACTTTTTTTTAAATGTTGGTTCTGAAAGCCACCACCAAATCCATTAGTTGTCAAGGGGTGAACACTGAGGCATGAACTCAATTGCACGACTCAAAACTCAGACTCAGATAGCGTTTCAAAATAAAGACTTTACTGGAATTTTGCACAGTAATAAAATAAGGAAAACAAAACACTCTTTCGAGGAAAACTAGAATCGTGATCTATAGCATAGGTCCGTGAAAGGTCCGTGAGGTAAGCCGATACGTAGGTCTTCGAGAGACAACGAACTGACAATTAACAGGAGGGAGCTAACACAATATATACACAGGTAAAGGGGACACAGTTGGAAACAATCAGGGCGGGGAAAATAATCAAGGACGCAGGAGACAGAAAGGGGCGGGGAGCGTGGAGGCCTGAAATGAGAGGAAGAAATAATTAAGGGCATAGACATAAAGCACAAGACAAAGGGACATGACAAAACTAACATAAAGAATAAACTTTCACTATAAGTTTCTTGGACATGACAGTACCCCCCCTTCTAGGGACGGCTCCTGACGGCCCAGGCTCCTCTGAGTTGAGGCGGTCAAAATCCTCAATGAGGTTTTTGTCTACGATGAAGCGGGAAGGAATCCATTGCCGCTCCTCAGGACCATAACCCTACCAGTCAACCAGTAACTGTCGCCCTCTACCCCTTTTCCGACTAGCCAATAGTGTCTTGACTGTGTAAACCGGACCTCCATCGATCATCCGGGGGGGCGGGGGGGGTTTGGCGGTGGGAACCATAGCGCTCTCCTTCAATGGTTTTAGTTCCCTACATGGAAGGTGGGATGTACCTTCATGGCCCTGGGAAGCCGTAGTCTCACTGAGACTGGGTTTATGACCTTGGTGATGGGAAAAGGACCCACAAACCGGGGAGCCAGTTTTCGGGAGAGTACGTGGAGGGGAAGGTCTCGTGTAGAGAGCCATACTTTTTGGCCTGGCTGGTATACAGGGGCTGGTCGGCGTCTTCGGTCTGCTGCTCTTTTAACCAGTTGCGCATTCCTGCAGAGTATCTTCCTAGCCGCAGCCCACACGCGCCGACAACGCCTGAGCAGAGCGTGGGCAGACGGGACCGTGACCTCCCTCTCCGTGGCTGGGAACAGTGGCGGCTGGTAGCCATAAACACAGTGAAACGGGGACAGGCCCGTGGCAGAAGTAGGGAGGATGTTGTGTGCATACTCAACCCAGGTGAGGTGCTCGCTCCAGGAGGATGGATTCTGGGACACCAGGCAGCACAGGCAGGTCTCCAGTTCTTGATTTAGGCGCTCTGTCTGGCCGTTAGACTCCGGATGGTATCCAGACGAGAGACTGACCGTGGCACCGATGAGGCTGCAGAACTCCTTCCAGAAGC